CGCCTGCCACCGGTACGGGCTCGATATAGTCATCTACAACCCACTGGCTGGTGGTCTTTTCTCCGGAAAATACAAATCGCAAGATATCCCTGCGGAAGGCAGATACAGCGACTCGAGCTCTACCGGATCCAACTATCGCAAACGTTACTTCAGAGATGCCACCTTCGAAGCTCTGAGTATCATTGAGCCTGTCGTAGAGAAACACGGTCTCACACTTCTGGAGACGGCTCTGCGCTGGGTCCGCCATCACTCTGCTCTGAGAATGGATAATGGGGGTCGTGACGGAGTTTTGGTGGGAGTTAGTAGCTTCGGACAGCTTGAGACTAACCTTGCCGATCTCCAGAAGGGACCCCTCCCGGAAGAGGTTGTGCAGGCATTGGACCAGGCTTGGCTGATTGCCAAGTCAAATTCTCCAAATTATTGGCATCTAGATCTGAAGTATACCTATGACACTCAGAAGGCGGTGTTTGGGCCTAAGGAGTAAGGCAAAGGGGCATATTAAGGGTTGTCCATCGGATTTGGTACATACATAAATGGTAGCTAGTGAAAACCAATCACAATTCGAGGAATTTTGATGCTATCTATCTAATACGATCCAATGTTCTTATCCCGAGGTCATATTTTGGAGACCACGTCTTCTGATCTAATTTCAGAACTCTGGGGCCATTTTCTGCTCCTAAAATAGCTGAATGACGTAATTGCACGCGCTAACTCGAGTCTAGCATAGCGTGGACCTAGCGTACATCACGTGATGTAGTCACAGGGGTCCACAAGTGGATAATGACACCTCAAGGCGGACATGTTACGCCTCATTGGAATTCCGATCGTCTTCAACCTAAGTGTCTCTATTTGACACATTGTGCGCTTGATTCACATCCGATACAATAATCTTTACTCAGTGGATTGAACCTACTAGTCCGCTACAACTATCCCCGATCGGTGGCGAGTCGCATGTATCCTGTGGACGCCTGTGCAGCATCTATTGAACACGTGGGAATAGGCTTCATGGATAGCCTTTTCCGGGGAAATAAATTCTAGCCACATTGTCTACATCAACTGGATGGGTGGCTTTTCGATAGTCCACGCCTCGGTTCCTTATCCCTATCTTTCCCCGCAAGCGCTGTAAATCGGACAAGAAGACCCCTGACGGCGGTATTCATGTCGAGGTAGTTAAGCCGACTAGCACCTTCCCTCATCATCGCCGTTGTGGCTTCAGATAGCATTGAGCTCTCAGAGCCGCGGGTGACCTCAACCCCAGACGCGGTCTACGACTTCGACTCTGACGACGAAATGGTTGCCAATCGCCCCCCATTACACCGACCAACAGACGGCCGCTCGCAACAACCCCTCCTCAAAGATGACCACCATCGCCGGTCCCGCTCCCGCTCGAACTTCCCGAATCCCGACGCAGAAGGCCAGCCCATGCTGCATGAAACCAGAAGGCCGACCATTCGGAGTAAAAGTCCGGAACACGACGCTGCCCGAGCAACCCGCAAGAAATACTTGGTTGCATCCGGATTCCTCCTGCTGAGTCTGGTCAGCTTCGTGGTCCAAACCGAGACCGCTTCATACATTCAAAATGAGTTGCACTGGAAGAAGCCGTATTGCATGCTGTAAGTCCGAGCGCAAAGATGCCAACGACATGCCCATGCGAAACCTGTTTCCCGGAATGTAAACGCTTACCATTTCCTCTCCCTATGCAGCTATATGACGCACGGGTCATGGTCCTTGCTCTGGCTGGTCCAGCTAGGTATCCTTCGGTTACAGAAACGGAAGCTCACGTGGGATGCTTTCTGGCGTCGCCACGTCTTTTTCCTTCGCACCACTGCCCAGATGGTAGAATCCCAGGAATTACACCTGAGCTCTCGCGCGTCCAATCGATCTCCAGTCCGCTATATGCTGAAGACCACCGCCTTTGTCACTACTGCTCTCACAATCGCCGGAGGATCATGGTACGTGGCAGTCAACATGACCACTCCCAGCGACCTCACGGCAATCTACAACTGTTCGGCCTTCTTCGCATATGCCTTTTCGATTCCGCTATTGAACGAGGAACTGCGAGTTGACAAGGTCTTTTCCGTGGCTGTGGCTACCATCGGCGTTATGGTTGTTGCCTATGGGGATGGGCCCAGCAAGAAGGTCCCAAAAGGAGGCACGGATGACAACGGGGCGCAGAACCGACTGCTCGGTAACATCGTTATCGGCATAGGAAGTGTTCTCTACGGGCTTTACGAGGTGCTCTATAAACGCTTTGCCTGTCCTCCGGAAGGTACCAGCCCTGGCCGGGGTACGATCTTTGCCAACACTTTTGGCAGTCTGATCGGGGTTTTCACCCTGTTAGTACTATGGATCCCATTGCCATTTTTGCACTGGGCAGGATGGGAGACATTTGAATGGCCGACTGGTGAGGCAGCATGGATGCTACTCATCTCCGTAGGCGCCAATGCTAGTAAGTACCAATCCCAGTGTTTCACAGACAGAGAGGCTAACACCAAGATAGCATTCTCGGGCTCTTTCCTCGTGCTTATCTCCCTCACATCGCCCGTTCTATCATCAGTAGCCGCTCTCCTTACCATTTTCCTTGTCGCTCTGGTGGACTGGTTCCGAACTGGAGACTCGCTGTCTATGGCCTCTATTATTGGAGGCATTTTGATCACGGTGGCATTTTTCATGCTGAGCTTCAGCACATATAGAGAGATGAATGAGGAGCGGAGGAAGCATCTAGAGAGTGATGAGCTTGAGTCTGACAGTGACGCATAGGTGCATTTTCTTTTTGCGGTAGTTTTCATACAGCATTTGAATTAGTGTCCAGCCTTTCTAACGTATAAAACTTCCTTCTTTTCACCGGTTATACTTGTTCAAGATGATACTAAGATCCCTATGCGCAGAAACAAAAACCACACAAATCTGTACATAGATATGAGAGTGCGCTGGAAACTTCGGCTGGGGTTGCCCCAGATTATATGAATTCCATGGTTCAGCCTTCGATGTCTCGTGGACGAACCGGCCCCTCTCGACCAAAAGTCTGACTGTGACATCATGAAATTTACTTTTCCCTTTGGATTCGGGTATGTCCGACTGAGCTTTCCTTCTGATTCGGGTCCGAGTGAGCTTTTCTTTCATGGAACCTTGGAAGGCAGATGCGTTTCCCGTGGATATCGGCATCCCGCATATCTGGACTTTGGAGATTAATGCAACGTTGTACTCTCGCACAATAGTATATGACACACATGTACGATGTACAATGAGCGTCAATTTCCTTTTGATTGGCATCTGCATTATGGCGAATCAGATCCACTGCGCAAATTAATCTTCAATGATCATTATCTCAGTGCATTGTACAGTGTACTTATCGGGTAGTTTCGAGTTCTGATCTGATTGACGTATCAATTAGTATAGTATGAGTTGAGAAGAACGGTGAGAAACAAGCGCAAACTACTCGACATGTCAACTTTTAAAGGCGTGGTACAAATGCATATGCAGGCCATATCCAGATTCAAAGCCAGGATCTGCCGTTGCCGCCCCAATTGATTTCATGACGATCAGCCCCCACGACCTAAGTCTCAAACCCCCGTCAAAGCCGCCATTTTTATTGGGTTAAACAAAGAAAGTGGTCCACCGAACGCTAGGGGGTGAAATAATGTCTCACAGCACTAGGAGAGTCCGTTTGTCTTGGAGGTATCTTTCACCCCCTGCCAAATGGCGCTAAGATATGTCTCGCGCCACTATTTATATCCGATCTGACTCCACAGCCAAGACAAGCAACGGAAGTGCAAGTCGGTTTCAACTCAGACAATCTCCCTATATGCACATAAGAAATGTGATTTTGGCAAGCCATAAGAATTCAAATTCACACATTCTTCCAAGGCCCAGCCTTGGCTCGGCAATGAACACCTCTGCCCGACATGGATATCATCCCCTTGACTTGCAGGCCCCCAGCGTGGCGCACGCTATCCCTCCGGGACCCACCAAGTCAAGCGAGATTTGGATGGTCATTCAAGTCAATGATTGGCAGTGATGATACCCGCCTTTTTCTCCGGATGCGCCTCCCTCTTGATTGGTGCCTTGAGGACCCCCGGGATTGAAATAGGTGCCTTTCTTACAGGCCGTACAAAGTACAGTGGATGCGAGTATGAACCACTTTTTATGGGCCTGAGGGACGCTAACCTTGGAAGTGAACTTCGTATTATGGTGGCAACCAAGTCATGACGTCCTCTACTTGGAATAAGCGTCGCTTGATGGTCTGTATAGGGTTGAAAAGTCACATTCCTTATGAGAAGACCTTCTTCTCCGTGTTCTTCTGGTTTTTTGACAGTCAGATGTCACCTAATCTGGGATCTTCCCCGAGGTATCATGTGTACCTGGAATACTGTATTGTGTATTATAAAGATTTCTTTCAGGGGAGAGAACTAAAGTACGAGTACAAGGGATTTATTACCCTGTCTTCTTCCTATATGTAGAGTCAGAGAGGAATAGGCAACTCCTATCTACATTATAGACTTTGAAGCCCTGTCTTAGTATGTAATCTGGTTCATCCCAACCCCCAATAATTGAGAGCGTTGATTGGTTTGCCTCCCCGTCGGATGGCAACGGGTGATACCGTGTATGGTAATTAAGATACAGCCCCATCCTTTCCATCCAGGTTCCCCTCCTGGATTTGTTGTTCTCTTTGGCTTCTTTTCTCTTCAACCTCTCTACGACCAACTTTTCCACCCCCCCCCCTCTTTGGCCTTCGTCGTGGCCGTCCGTTCATTTTTCCAGGCTTTTGGATATTGCTGGTGGTCGCTTCGATTTGATTTCAGTCGTTCCTTTCTGCCTGGCGCGGATTCAATGACCCTCGCCCAAGGTGCTTAAAGTTGACCTCCAGATTCCTAGGCTTTCTCGCTGAAGGGAAGTCGGTCTGGAGGTCTTTGCCCATCTGGATCTTGTCGGGCCTTTTTGCCATTCCGCTAAATTTCTTTATTGCCGCATCCTTGTGTTCTTTTTCCTTGCCTTCAATCATGGCTTCCATTTCACTTCCTCCGCAGTCCCAGGCGGGCTTCCCGTCACATTTCGATGCCTCGAATCAGTCCGACGCCAGCTCCGATCGCCGACCATTGCCTAATCCACCATTTGTCTTTCCAGCACGGGATCCTGACGCCCCCAACACCCAATTGGAGACCCCTGAGCGCCGGGAGCGGGCCGCATTGCCTGCATTCTCTTTTAATCCCGGATCAGAACAGCAGTCCTCACACCTCTCCGCGCCATCCTCGTCAAATCCTCGCGCGGGCGGACACCGTCGGCGACCAAGCGAGTTTGTTGGGACCGACCATTTGGTAACACCGGAAACAGTTGGACCAGGTCACAAACGGGCGTCTTCTATGGCAGATCAACCTATTCCTCCTCCAGGGCCTGGTGTTGGTAGGGTTCCTGGACGACGGAACCATGCCCATCGTCGTTCGGCTGCGATATCTAATGTCGACTTGAATGCCATCACCAAGGCGCTTGGTCCTAATTCTGCGGCTGGGAGTTCGCCTTGTACACCCGCCGATCCTAGCCACAAACCTGCGTCCGATCTTCCTTCGCGACCGCTCTCTCAATCCGCTACTAGCCTCGGGCGCCCCACGCCCCCTGCGTCTCCTCGATTCCCTCCCGTGCCTCCCATTCCGGCTGCTATTCAAGTGGAAATGGCCTTGGACAACGAGGCATCCAATTCCGAACGACCAGTCCCTGCTGTTTCGCATGGTATCTCGGATAGTATGGCCACAATCAAGTTGCAGCAACAGGCGGAGAAGCCTACTTTCTCAGACCGGATAACGCCAAGATCTAACTACAGCCCAAAACCTCGGCCAAAAACTGCCGATGCCTCTTTGGTTATGGATTTTATGCAGATGGGTGATGACTCAGGATCCTCTATCAAACGTTCGCACTCAGCCGCTGGGCACTCGCGCTCTCGAAAGAGCAAATCAACACCGCATCTCGATTCTACTCTCTCGCCCGATGATATCCAGTCGACAGATAACTGCCGGCCTTCATTTTCGGACGATGGTTCTGATACATCTGGCGATGAAGCGACAGAGAAGTCGTCTAACAAATCCCCTATCAAGTCGAAAAAGAAGAAGCAGAAACGTGTTCGCTCTTGGGCCGGTCACATTCTAACTCGAACCAAGAGTAAGGGTAAGGGTAAGCGCCATCTGAAGGCTGACACAGAGGAGCAGCCGCCTGTACCTCGCGTTCCTGCACCTCGTCCCCCTGCTCTTACTCGGACCAACTCGGGGACCGGATCTGTTTTGGATGTTGATTTTGATAATGACGATGTCGTTGTCATCCGGACTCCGACCAATCCGACAATGCCTTCTTCTGCCCTTGAGCCCATTCAAAATAATTGTCAAACCGATGGTGGTTCTTTGTCTGCACAATCTCTAGAGACCTCGTGGAAACCGAGAAGTTTCTATGAACAGGATGTCGGCCCGCACGACAATGTACTGAGTAGCCCTATCATCGACCTCGATGCGGCGCTTGGTCCCTTCAACACTCCGGATATGCGACCCGTGACGCAGGGTGCGCACAACAACAACTTTTCGGTTGCAACTCAGCGGATGTACAGCGGCGGAAGACGGGGTGAATTTGTTGGTCCAGAGATGCGGTACCATCGGCGCACCGAAAGCGCTCCAGCGATGCAACCATTCGACCGGACTGCTCTAGGCGCATTCCGTTTGGGTCCAGCCTCGGCCGTCGAAGCGCCCGATGTGTTTGACGAGGAGGAAGAGGATGCTTTCTTGGCTGCTTCCCAGTCACCCAAAGGCGAGCGGCTTCCGGTAAACCCGCCACCGATCGACAACGCAGTTTTCTCGTCCTCGGAGGACGATCAGAAATCTGTCCACAGTACCAATACCTCTGGCTCTAGTGATACTCTGACCCGTGCCCCTGCCGGCAGCATCTCCTCTCAGAATGCTGGCTTGGGTATTCGACAAGGCGATAAGCGTCTGGGCCAGGAACAGCCGGAGGATAGAAATGCCCTTGAGCAGGTACATAATGCCAGCAATCCCTTCACCAGCAACCCTCGAACCCCCGTGGAGATCTTGAAAACGGAAGAACCTGCACATAAAGTGATTGGGCCCCCCAGTCCCGACATCTCTCCTCGATTCTTAGCTGTCGACAAGCGACCAGCGACCTCACCCATTGAGCTGCTGCCTAGCATTCCACCATTCGCGTTACAACCAGGAGTTTCGCCGTCGGACTCATCTTTCCCGTCTCCGGATGCTCCGCGGTCAATTGCGGCATCCTCGATGACAGACCGGAACTTTTCCAGTCACTCGTATCATCACCTTCCTTCGGCGGAACATCCTTACGCATCGGTTGAAGATGTTCCATCTTTGACCAGCAGTGCGTCGACTATGACCAACACTCTGAATCGTTTTTCGGCGGCTTCTTTCTTTCCTCGTGGACGCCTTTCTACCGACCGCGCGGCGTCCTTCTCGGCTGCTGGTACCAGACGTACCAGCCAGGCTAACGCCTCCAAACGCTCTAGTCTTGCTAGCCTTTCCAAGCTAGTCGGTGGTCCCCATTCTGAGCGGAGCAAGCTCAACCAGGAGGAGAAACCCCCTAGCAACGCATCCGACAAGACGAAGAAGAAGGGCCACCGTCTTAGCCGAATGATGCACTTCTGGAAACCTAAGGACAAAGAAAAGTCATCCAATGAGGCCGCACCAGCAAATGAACGGCCACAGTCATAGGCGCGCGGTGCGCGTTGGTTTTGAATATTTTTTACTTCGATTTACGGCGCAACCTCGGCATAGCGACATCCTGGCAATTTTGAGACAATCACATTACTCCCCCTGCTTTTTTCCCCACTTTCGACAGCGTGGGCGTCTTCTTTTACCCGATTTGTACATATTGTGTCCCGTTCAGTTTTCCTGTGGATTCTTTTTCTCCATCTTCATCGGCGGTTCTATTTCTGCTTCTATTTCTGCGTCTTCCACCAGACGCTCATTACGAATTTCTTTACCTCTCAAGGCGTTATTGTCTTGAGTATGATCTATCATCTTTCTTGTCAATCCTTATGCTCCGGTGTGAGTGACGCACGGATTTATTGACTTTCTCTACGATCGCTGCTCCTCTACGGGCTTTCCTCTTACCATTTTTGTTTTGATTTGCTCAAGGCTCTTAGCCTGGAATATTATTCGTCCCCATTGGCACATCCATTGGGTCCCCCTTTTTTATCTGGGACATGGCTGTCTGTGTATCTATTGTGTGGCTTTTGTGTCTACACTGCTCAGGTGGTGTGGCATTCGTCAAGGATTTGTCTCTGTCCGATTACACAAATAGCGGATAATGAAACACTCTCTTCAATTACATACCATAGTCCTTGTAAGATGTGATTGATTTTGTAAGTTTACTTCTAGGCTCAATTTCTCTTAATAGGACATAGTGAATGATCTCGGACCAAGGCTTACATATATACTTGTCTCTGAGCACTCATACGAGACTGGGGTGTGGTTTGGAGCTCGGAGTCCGAGAGCCACAAGTACAGGGGCCATATCGCTTGTTTTCCCTTTGACATTGCTGATTGGGCTCTGATTGATGCAGTAACACAAGGTATTGTCCTAGTAGAAGTTGTACGGTTTTGAATAAATGGACTAAAGTACGAGGGCCAACATTTTCAAGTGCTGCGTGGTTTCCAGGATTATTGGCGGCATAAGCACAGCTTAACACCAGTTAACTATAAGCCCAGTGCTGCCTGGGTTACAAAAGGATACCACTACAGGCGCTAATCCTGATATAGGAGATGGAAAAAATATGGAGATTGGCATCTACAAAGACATAAAACAAGACATCAAAGGATGTGTTGACAACATATATACAAAGGACCTTAGAGATAATGCTGTGATTCTTTTTTTTCCAACAATAATGTATCCCTATATCCATGTATATCCCTTAGGGGAGCCATGATCTTGATACGGGACTACGTAGATATTCAACCGAAAAGCCAGAAGATCTGTGCCAGAGCTTTGCACTATAGTCGAGTCTCTAGGGGAGGCTTGAAAGACATGGCGGTGACCGAGCTAGCACAGTTCGTTCACAGTCCATCTCAGTAGATGGGATCATCTTCATCTGTCAACTTTCCAACATTCTGCGTGATCATGCGAATTGGCCGGTCATTGGCAAGCTCACAATGTCAGGTCTGCCAGGACGGGAATCCGAAGCTATTCGCACTCCAAACAGAGACGTTTCTCCTTGGTTTTGTCAACATTTATGACTCAAAATTTCAAAAGTTCAAAGGATCACCAACTCGTCTCAAATTTGAAGCGGAAGCCATGATAGAGAGTGAATACACAAAGGGGAGTGCCCAGGTGCCACGCCCAGAGGAATCCACCGTCTTACCTAATCTCAACGCGCGCGAGAGCCTCCCACGGGTGGACCTGAGATCTCTCCCATAGAGATGTTGGATCTGCAACCATCTTGGGACCATTCATGCCATTCACGCCATTGAAGCTATAGGAGTTACTGAAGTCATCAAAGTACTGCTATTCCTGATACTTCTCTTTTTCTTCAAACCGTGCGGCTGAAAAGACATTGACTCTGCTAGGGTTGTTGAACCTGTCACATCCATTCCTTGTGTCTCCACTAGAAGTGTGTCTTGCACTCTCACCTCGATTTAATTTATGCCTTCTCTCTACTTGGACTTACAACGTACTTGATGTTCTCGCCAATAAGCCAATACATCAACACTTGATACTTCTTACGGTTCACAGGTGGCATAGTGCAAACTCGCGTAAAACACAATGTCTACCAACGGCAATTCACGGGGAGAAGTGCCCATGTCCCATAATGAACAATCTCATTATGTCCGCACACAAGAGTACACAGCTACGCCACGATATCCGAGCTCTACACGTGGCCCTGGTTCAACCTATTACGGGTTGGCGGACACAGGCAACAATGACACTGTAGTCGTCGATCAGAGAACTTTCAACCGCGATTCCCACGACTTCGCAGAGGGAGACTTTGTTTGTCCAGGATTCTTCAACCGTGTTGATCTAGGTGGGTTCACCCGCCGCTTCAACCCTTCGCAATGGAACTACGATATGCGCCGCCAGGCCCAGCCCATCCTTCCATTCTTATCTCTTGGTCCTTCGTCATGTCTACGAGATGCCGATTACATCCGCAGCCAAGGGTTCACACTACTCCTTGCCATTCGAAGTCGACACTCAGCCCAGGCACGCCTCGTCTCTGGCGAAAAGGCGGCGGCCGAGGTCGGTATCATGGCGGACACGGTTGATGTCCTTGATAACCAAGAGCTCATTTCTGCATTTCCACGCGCTATCCGCCGCATCAATGATCATTTGGCTGGTGTGGATATGGGACCCGGCGGAATGGTGCCAAAGAGTCAACAACAGAAGAGGAAAGTCCTTGTCTTCTGTGAATCCGGGAATGAGCGCTCGGCCGGTGTCGTCATTGCCTATATCATGGTCATGCTCAATATTGAGTCTGTTGCAGCCACGCATATGATTCAGCAGCGTCGTTTCTGTGTCTCAATCGAGGACACTATGAAATACATCCTCACGGCTTTCGAGTCCATTCTTTCTGCTAAGCGTGATGTTGAGCGTGCTAAACGAATTACTGTTCGTGGGGCTTCTAGTCTTGCACCCCCTTCTCTACCACCAATGCTCACGAAGAAACGAAGTTTCCGAGATCATGCGGATGATGCTCTTGCCACGGGGGAGGGTGAAATGGACATGGACATGGATGAGGACCCCTTCCATGAGCGAAAACCGAATGCTCCCTTCCAAGACCGCTTAGTCTAGAGTGGGAGTCTTTGACTGGATTGCGAATGGCACTGTCATGTTATGGAGACGGGGAGAGCGACGGATACGCTGGAAGATAAAAGGAAATGAAGGGAATCTTTCCATTGTTTAGAGTAGGGTGGCTTTTTGCTTTTCCTTTTGCATGTTTTATTTGTCTGCTTTATTGCTTCATGGTCCTTGTATGCAAATACCCAGCTGCAGTTGCTCATTTCTACTATCTTCCCGATATCCAGGCCATCCACTGGCCATTACACTTATATCCTCATATCTCCATAAGATCATAGACATGGGAAAGTTTCAACATAGCATGTGTCAACATTTTGTGTAGAAAAATCAGTGATGGGGCCAGTATCAGAATTTGGCAGGTCTCGAGACGCGCGCAAGTTGGTTGATGCCCTCAAGCATCTGACCCAAACGTTCGAACCCACCTCGTCGACTCTCGACTCAATTTGTCCCTGCCTTGTGTTTCCCTTTTCGATCTGAGAGCTCGAGTCCTACCCTGACTTTGCGCAACTTCAGAGTCACCCGATCCTCCCTTCTCCTCTCTTCTCCATCTTGCGCGACAACATTTCCATCTCGCGACCACCCCACCACGATCACCCATCGAGCCCTTATGAGGAAGCGCATGCTTCCCATTGACCTTTAACACCTACCTACGATCGATACACCCACAACAACGATTAAGCGCATCAGACCTCGTCCAACACCTCACACCTTACCTCACCGCGCCGCCAAAATGAGCGGCATGAGACTGCGCGACAGTATCCGCGCACCGCTGCGATATGGCGAAGATGAATACGAAACACCACCACAGATCTCGCTGCGCCACGGATACGATGACTCCTTTGACGACTCCATGGAGCTTGGGGAATCAGGTAGACCGCGCCCACAAAAGAGGCGCAGAATAGACACTGTGCCATTTAACCCCAACCTGCCAACAGCTGCGTTTCCCAGTTTGAGCAGACCACGGCCAGGTCGTGATTCCACCACCTCAGCGCACAACCGCAGCGTTGGCGACAGCCAACAGAGCATGCAGGCAAGCGAAGTTGCGCTTGATCCCCACACTGATGGGTCAACCCAAGCTGTTCCACTGCCTCCGTCTGGGATAGAAGGAGTCCCGATCGATCAGCTCGATAATCACGTCGCCAGTAACAACATGGACAATCCGGTATACGCGAGGAACGTAAACATGGCGCGCATGGCTCGTATGGATGCCGCTCCCGGTTCCGAGGACATGGGCACCTCTCCGGATAGTGACGACGATGCGCTACCAGATGCGACCCAGGTGCTCCTTGATACGGTAAGTATATCATGACCTCTTCTGTGTTAGTACAATTGAACAAGTCTGACGTGAGTCGTCGGTTTAGATCCCCAACCCAAAATGGAGAGACCTACACAAGGCTATGCAAGTCGAAATCGTCGAAAACACAATGAAATACCATAGCTGGCGACGTGTTTGCGACCTTCTTGGCCTTGGGCCAGACGATCGAAAACAGCTTATGGAGGTCATAAGCATTCGCAATAAGCAAATTCACCGGGAGAACAGACGACTGGAGCAAATGAGGCGCAAACAGCGGAAGGTACTAATGAGAATTGATAACAGCGACCTGAAGCGTTTCAAGCCGCCACCTCAACTAGTGCTCAAAAGGATCGCTCGAGAGACCAATCGGAACCTGGTGGTCACGAAGTACACGGACCTACTGATGTGCCAAGCTCACGAGGTTCTGAAAGCCAGACAGTACTTGCATCAGCACGGGCTGCCTCGAAGATATGCTGGCGATTGGGGAGACCGCCTGGTGGTGCTGCGAGAGTCCGAGGACAACTCCCATGAGCCCGACACGTTTGAATGGAAAGAGAACCTGAGATTCACTCCGCCTCCCAATGAAATGGAGACTCCAGTCAGTCCTTTTATGGACGAAACCAGCAGTTCCAAGAGTACATTCATTCAAAGCATTGGTACGAACGGCACAATGAACCCAAAGGATTTAGTTCGACGCGACACCGATCCAGGTCCCATGATGGACTGGGGAAAGTATTATGAACGGAACCCGGACTTGTCATGGGACACCACAAAGCCCCGACTCGGTGGAATGGTCAAGATGAAGGTCGGTCCACGCAACGCCGCGCAGATCCAACAATACAAGCAAGCCAGTGCCAAACCCCAAGGATTATCCTCTCAGATACAAGGACCCACCATGCCAGACTCACCTCCGCCGGAGCTTCCACCGGAAACACCGTCTAGGGGGCCACGGAATGGGGGTATCGCCCAGCCCGTTTTCAAGAAACCTGCTAGACCTTTCAGCAGAGTCCTCACCGGAAACTGGTCTTCGGCAGGTTTTAACCCATCGGAGAGCCATTTCAAGTATCAAAGAAGCATACAGCGAGCCAAGCTCGAGAAAATCGAGGCAGAGGCAGAGGCGATGCGCCGTCAGTACAACTATCAACCAACTGTCCGGGTTAATGGCGTTGGTGTTGGAATCAGCCCCGCACGTGGAAACCATCAGACTCTTCCCCTGACCCAGCCAGTCGAGGAGAACGTCCCTCCTTCCAATTTTTTCGCCCGCGCGTACCGTGGAATGACAAAGATGAGCGTTGACCGCCTCATGGATGAATTTGTCTGCTTTGAGCCTATTGTGATGCCCGAAGAAAGCGAGCCCGAGCAGCCCGATGAGCAACCAAGTTCCACTGACATCAGCTCGATCACTGAGGTCTCCATGGATGATGTGTCCCTGGTGCCGACGGATGGTTGTTCCTCTTCGCAGTAGGATACAACGAAGAAATACCGAGGGAGCAATCGAGGATTCAAGCATATGAGGCTATTTTCTTCATGTCGACCTTCCTACATGATCCGTTTGTATGATACTAGTTATTAATGTATGATAGTTTCAATGATGTTAAAGTGAAGTCTGAGTCAGTGTAGTTTCTGGTGTCTAATCTAAACCTGGTCTGTGCGTCAAACGCGAAAATGCCGCGTCGCGCACTCCTACTTCGATCTCCGATATATCACAAATCGGACGTCCGATCGTGCAGAGCGTTCGTTTAAGCTACGATTCTCCATTTGCCAGACACTCTTGTACATCCGGTCGTTGTTATCACATTCGTTTACCCCTCGCCCCCAGCGCAATTCGACGTCGCGAAAACTTCTTCACCCCTGCTGATGACGTACCATCACCATCTCTAGTACTCGCTTTAGATCACTCACTCTCTATACTTTTTTTGTTATCAATTCTATCAGACCAAATGTCTACTGAAGACACAGCGACTCCCACGGATTCACGTGCGGGGACTATGGCCCCTGAGTCGGTCGTTCCTTCGTCGCCACTCACGGACCCGACTGAGGCTGAAGACTCGAAGTCTTCTCATGACAAAGATGATGACTCCAAGGAAGACTTGAGCGATTCAGAAGACGTCGAAGGGATGGACAGCAAGGCCAAGGCCTTGATGCATTTGTTGAAAACTAGCTCCGTATGTGTCTAGTTTATCCTCGTCTTATCTGATTAAAGTAGTCTGATGTCTTCTCATACCTGCAGGTCTTTGTGGCTATCATGTCAGATAAAATGAAGAAGCAACAGGAGGACGCACGCTTGGCGGCGATCAAGCAGCGCGAACAAGCTGTCGCGAGTAAGAAGACAACCGAGTCTCCTCCCGAACCTGCTCGCCGAACCACTCGAACTCGGCCGACCCAAGATGCGACTGAGGAGAACACATCCGCTGGCAGAAAGGCCTCCAATGAAAAGACCACAGGTTCAACCAGAGGTCGGCCTAAGCGGACAGGTGCCGCCGCCGCCAACGGCAGCTCTATTTCCAGTTACTTTAAAAAGGCCGACGTGGAAGTGACTGAAGATAATCCCTCTGTGCAACAAGCCCTCGAGCAGGCTGCAGATGACTACGAAGCGAACCCAACAGCTCTTGGCGAGCAAGATTTAGTCGCGACACAGCAGCCAACACTTGTGAGTGGTGGCAAAATGAGAACGTACCAGCTGGAGGGCCTCGAATGGCTGAAGACTTTATGGATGAATGGGCTCTGTGGCATTCTTGCCGATGAGATGGGCCTTGGAAAGACCGTTCAAGCAATCTCGATGATTGCTTTCCTAAAGGAGAAACAGGTTTCGGGACCGTTCTTGATTGCAGCACCGCTGAGTACGGTGAGCAATTGGGTCGATGAGTTCGCCCGATGGACCCCGGGAATCAAAACCGTCTTGTATCACGGCTCGAAGGATGAGCGAGCTGCCATGCGCAGCAAGTTTCTGAAGCTGAAAAACCAGGGAGACATGGACTTCCCGGTGGTGTGCACATCCTACGAAATTTGCATGAATGACCGAAAGTTCCTGTCTCAATATCAATGGCGTTATATTGTTGTTGTACGTTTGTTTCAGTCTTTTTCATTTACCAAATGCTAATTGATTATAGGACGAGGGGCATCGGTTGAAGAATATGAATTGCAAGCTCATCAAAGAGCTTCTGACCTATAACTCAGCCAATCGTCTGTTGATCACGGGAACACCTCTCCAGAACAACATTTCAGAGTTGTGGTCACTTTTGCACTTCCTGCTTCCTGAAGTTTTCAACGACCTCAACTCATTTGAGGGATGGTTTGATTTCTCGTCCGTCCTGGACAACAAGGGCCAGGCAGACGTTGTTGAAAAACGCAAGCGTAACTTGGTTACCAGCATGCACGCAATCCTCAAGCCGTTCCTTCTCCGACGTCTCAAAACAGATGTGGAACACACCCTTCCCAAAAAGCGGGAATACATTTTGTATGCCCCTCTGACCCCCGAGCAGAAAGATCTCTATCGAGAGATCATCAATGGTACAGGGCGCCAGTACCTTGAGGGAAAGGCCCTGGAACGTCTAGAGAGTAAGAGCGGCAGCTCTACGCGTTCGCAAAGTATGAAGCGCAAACGGAGTGACAGTGACGATGCAACGCCGGTTAAGAGCGCCAGGTCCAGCGGGACGTCCACGCCGGCTCGCAATGGAAATAAGTCTAGCAGCCGTCGCCGACGCAGTATGCGTAAGGGTTACAATGATCTAAGTGATGGAGAGTTTGATGAGCACCTCCGCAAGCTCGAGCTGGGAATTGAAGAGGAGGAAAAGAAGGTCGAGCCCAGCGATACTGAGCTTGAAGAGATGCAGCACGCTGCGAACCTGAAGCTTGCCAGTGCGTCACTTTCAAATCTTTTTCCTAGTATTTTGCTAATATTGTCTTACAGAGAAAGAGATTGGACAAAAAAAGATGCAGAACCCGGTCCTACAGGCTCGGCTTGCCTGCAACTCTCCCCACAACTTCTATTGGCCTTGGCTAGACGAGTCCTCTTCTGTAGACGAAACACTCGTCTCCGCCTCTGGAAAGATGCTTTTGCTGGACCGCTTGGTCTCGTGTTTGCTTAAGAAGGGCCATAAGATTCTAATTTTCTCTCAGTTCAAAACTCAACTTGATATCATTGAAGAGTGGGCAACGACACTCCGCTCCTGGGATTGTTGCCGAATCGACGGCGCTATTGCACAGTCGGAGCGACAGGCTCAGATAAAAAATTTCAATACCAGGAAGAGTCACAAGCTCTTCCTCCTAAGCACCCGAGCTGGTGGCCAAGGAATCAATCTCACCGCTGCCGACACCGTCATTATCTTCGATTCTGACTGGAACCCCCAGCAGGATCTGCAAGCCCAAGATCGAGCCCACCGCATTGGCCAGACCAAGCCAGTAATTATCTACAGATTGGCGACAAAGGGTACCGTTGAGCAGACACTCCTTGAGAAAGCGGATTCCAAGCGCCGCCTCGAACGTCTGGTGATCCAGAAAGGCAAGTTCCGCTCATTGCTCGACCCCAGTGCGAATTCCCAGGATATCGACGAACTACGCAAGGCTCTTGGCGAGAACGAATTCGAGCGGTTCGAGGCTGGCGCTGACCCAGCATCGATCTTGTCAAATGAAGATCTTGACATCCTGACCGATCGCTCTGAGGAGGCCTACCTGCGCGCTGAGAAGGGCTTGGATACGAAAGGGGCTGCGTTTGTTGCAGTTGAAACGAAGCGCGATTCGGGTGAGAGCATCCTCTCGTGAGATGTTCAATGGCTGTCTACTTGACGTTTTTCCTTCCATCCAAGCTACATGCTGGATGATGTCCACTGGCTACTGGATTGTAGTAATAATGGTGGGCTGGCTAGTTTGATTGGCGTTGAGATACAGGTGGGATGGGGGACTTTTGCTACACCTGACGTTTCCTCTTGGTCAGATAGATACCTAAACCATGATTCCTCGCTATTGTATCATATGTTGGATATTTCGATGTTTCTTCCACTAGGAAATTAAAAAAAAAGGCAAAAAATATCCATTTAACGTCTGGAGCTTCCTTATATTGTCGCATACGCTACCAGAGTATGCAAAAAGACTCATACCTAGGTGGGTCCCGAGTGGATCCGGGTGGGTACTGAACTTTTAGCCTCAACCAGGTTAACACCCGGGCCGCATCAGTTTATCGACTCTGTGGACTGCATTGAACTCTCTGTAGCTATGTACGGATCCAGGAGCAGAAAGTATATCAAACCGATGGGTATTAAATGTTGGTTTTGCCCTATTTTCGCAGCTGATTCTGTTACTTGAATTGAATGGTCTGTTTGTCTTAGCTCTAATACCCCCACAATATAACACCTTCTTAGCAACCACTAGTTAGTTGTCTTTAGTCGCTTGTCATTTTGTTTAAAGTAACCCTACCAACCAAGGCGGAAGCCATCCTAGCAACACATGCCATTCTCCGATCTTGAGATAAAGGAATTGGTTGAGAAAATAGATCGTCACATCTACAGGTGACTCATGGAGCGGTGGATATTTAGGGTGTCGACGACCAGCAGTTTCTGGTAGTGCCCAGTCGACCAAGATCAACCAGTTGTAGGACTCTATGAATGGGAGGATATGATGGAAGATATCCCGAAGCCTGAGGGAGCCACACGATAGCTGAGTGATTAACTCCCTCGCACTTTCTACAGGCCAGCCTTACCTAGGTAGAGGTACATATGTAGATAAACCATGATGCCTCGCTATTGTATCATATATCAAACGGTTTCAATATCCCTTGTACTAGCCAGCAATAAAAATGCAAATAATATCCATTTGACGCCTGAAGCACCCTAACAAGAAAATGGCTGTACATGATAGTCACGAGAATCAAGAAAGTAGGACATATATGCAGCGCAAGGGGCCATGGAAAGAAAAAGAGCAGCAAAAGCACTGGCTAACGATTCCGCTAGTCCATATTCACGCAGCAATCAATCACCGCCGAGCTTTCTCGTCCTCAATTTGGCTGCGAAGGTCCGAAAGGACATCATGCCGTTGGGCCATATGGCTCTTCAGCCCTTCCACCTGCTCCCCAACAGCCTTGACATCCTCCCGAAGTCGCTCCAAATCCTGACCGTCCTTAGCACGGCCAGTACCTTCACGCAATTCACGTAGCTCCCGCTCCTTATACTCCAAGAGTGAGAGGGCCTCCTTCTTAATCAGAACCCAGTTGGGCCGGCCATCATTGCGCGGCCCATCCCGCCTAGAGTCGGAGGCCTTTTTGGCGGAACTCAGCTTCTTCTCCAACTCCGCGAGCTCGCGGCGCAGCCGCACCTTCTCCCACTCCTCATCCTGGATCGTGTCGCTGAAATCCGTCCCCTTAGGCTGATACGAGCCCTTGCCACCAACGCCCAGACGGCCGAGGTAGGTATCGCCGAACTTGGCTTTGCGACCTGTCCGTGTTTCCGTATCGCCATCTACGCCGTAGCGCTGTGCGGGTCGGGCCTTGTCGACTTGGTAGTCGATCTGGTTGTGCTCGAATGAGGCCCGCAGCGATGCGGGGATGGTGCGTGGGATGCGGAAACCCTCGTGGCGGAAGTTCAGGATGTGCAGGAAGGCGAGTGTTGCATCTTTGTTGATTGCGGGTGATGCGGAGGGGTTGACAAGGTTCCAGGCCGAGCGGATATCGGTGTCGGGGACGTCGAGCGATTCGTAGAGTGGTTGTAATTGTTGGACTGGGGATGGTCAGCGGGGGAATTTTCTGGGCGCGCACAGTGCGCTGGACGGGTTACTCACATTCTACTTGCCCGCGAGCGTTCCGGTTGGCGTCGTATATCTCGGTGTACTTGTTCTTGTCGTCGGGCTTCATATACCAATCAAAGCCGTCCTTCAGACTGAGCGAGTCGTCCTCGTCTTCTATCCGCTCGAACCGCTCTTGTCCACCGCTTAGTGCGCGGGTCGCATGGACGAGATGTGATTTGGACTCTGGGACTAGCCAATCTGGCAGAACATTTGGGACCTCCTGTAGTTCCTATTTACAGATAAGACGTTGCGTTAGAGCGATTTGGTGATGATTTAAGGGGATGGATCACTTACGCCGTTGACCAGGTCGAAGACTAGGCGCATCGCAACACAGAACTCCTCGAAATCCAGCTCCCCATCTCCGTCGACATCGGCAATGTCCCAGACCTTCTCGAGCTGGTCATCGCGCAGCCGGCTGTTTCTCAGCACGGAGGCGGCCTGGGAGCTGTTGAGGTGTTTTTGGCCATTTGATAGTGAGGCAAAGATCTCCCAATATCGCTCAATCTCCCATTGCTCAATCTTTTTAGTTGCCATGATGTATGGAGCTCCGATGAATGGCGTGGAGGATGAGGTGGGAATGGGGAGAGACTCGGATTTACCTACTTCCGTCAGGGGCTCTGAGGTCATTGGACAATCCATTTAATTATTCTTCTTCATGGTATTTATATTGAAGTTTCTATAATAATTATGGTCTATATGGTTATCTACTGGAATCTGATGTCCTCCTTGCATTATGATACGTGGTCTCCCTCTGTGTCGAGTAGGAGAACTCGACATCTCCTGTCCGCAGAACGTAGCGATTAAATCTTCGGCATTATGAATCCTTCTTCTCCTTCTTCTCATCTTTCTTCTCTTGTTTAGCCTTCGCTGCAGCCTCGAGCTGCTCACCGACTTGAATAATCGCTCGTTCGGCTTCCAACGCAAGCTCCGGTGCTTCCAAGATCGTAGCCAACTTTTTGGCATCAGACATTTTCAACAGCACCCGATCCTCGCTCTGCTCTATGCCATCGGCAACCTCCGAATGTGATGTGCCGGTGGTGTCTTCGAGTACTCCAGATGCGCGTTTGGCATAAAGTTGTTCGAGCTCCGGTAATGAGACAGGATTGAGGAGATTCTTGTCAACGAGAAATTCCAGATGTCTTGAGCCATTCAATGCTGTATTCTCGTCAGTTTTATGGGACTTGTCCTTGTAGAAGACCAAACTAACCGCGCCAGTGGGACCAGCCCCGGTATGCCACATAGAAAAAGGGAATATTCGGAACCCTGTTCTTTATTAGTATATCATATCACCGGACAAGGCTCATGCCATTCACATACACTGGTACCAACCCAAAAGGGGCTGTAATCGGCGCAGCTATAAAGCTCCACGTCATCTTCTTCCGATGAAGCTCCTGTCTCTCCGTGGCGATCGTGCGCAGCACATTTTGAATTCGCTCCAATCGCACCGCGTTCCCGGGGAACAACACATCAATCTTGGTCTTTCCATGATCTCCATTAATTTGCTGCTGGGCTTTGAATGAAGGGATGCTTTTGAGGGCCCATTCTTCGTATGGTATCCGTTGCTGGACCCGGTTGCCCCAGCTAACAAGATGCATCTTCCATCCTTTGTCGGCTTCCTCCCACTTCGCCCATGTTTCAGCCGCCTTCGTTGTGATCCTGTCAAGAATGGAAAGTTCTTTCGCCAAATCCTTGCGAAGGGGTCGTGCAAATACGAGGACACGTTTTGTCGAGATCGGAATTAGGAAGAGGCGCATGGTGGAAGATGTCTGAGACAATCGACAATCGACAATCGCTGAATCGCGGGGAAGATAATCGATAGATGTCAAATGATTCAAGATAAAAAGAAATAGTTACAGATTTCAGAATAAATAGTCCATTGAAACTTTATTGCTTTTTTTTTCGTGTGGGTGAAAAAGGGATGCGGGAAGTAAGCAGATCCACGCGTTGGATAAATCGAGACGTCATTTCCCGTCTACACTTTCGTCTTAGGGAGGTCATCCCTGAACATAAACATAACACTCCTACTTGATCATTGGGGATTCGCGGGCAAACTGCGGATTGAACTTTCCCGCGACTCCCGAGTTTCAGGTTTCAAGTTCTCTCCTGTATCATGGACAGCCCCAAAGACAGCGCTTCAGGGCGAATCTTTGGTGAGAAGCCGGCAGAGAAGTTCCCAGACTCAACACCAGTGTCGGGCCAGCTTAGCGTCGATACTGAGTCTGCCGTTCGCAATAAAACCTCCAATTCAGCACTTTCGCGTACAGATGGTCAAACAGCAGAAGAAATCACGTACTCCCAAGGCTCCGCCTTACGATCTCTTCCTGGTATCGTCCCATTCAAAGCTCGTTTCGACGATCGGTCACTAATAACGAGTCTTTGTAGCCTGGATTCGGTCGGTCGATGAGCACGAGGAGGGGGATGAAGCTACGGCAACCGATCGCTTACTCCCTTCTCAGCCAAATGACGCATTTGTCGCTCAACACAACCACTCGCCCTACTCCTCGTCGAAACCGCAACCTACGAACTCGATTACTAACGGCCTATTTGAGGATGACTCTCCACTCGCCAACCGTAAATCGCGCTGGGTGACGTTCTCACGAGCCATCCAATACCCCCGCGAGCCCGGTAGAGAGGAACAGCAAGTCACATCAGAATGGCTGAATGAGAATCACGGTGATTACTTGCAGCCATGGCGAGGAAAGCACTTGGAGGGCGATAGTCCGGAGTATCCGCTACACAGCGGAGGCCAAAGGGAGGTCTGGATCACGCGTTTCAAGAACACGCTCCTGCGAAGCCCGATTGTACCGCTGATTCTTCGAATGACTGTTTGGTGCTTCTCACTCTCTGCGCTGGCTCTGGGTGGATCGATTCAGCACATGTCTAATGAAGGGCACCACCCTCAAGGCCCATCTGCATTGATGGCAATCATCGTCGATGCAGTCGCGCTGGTTTACCTCCTATACATCACATTCGATGAATACACGTCAAAGCCCTTGGGTTTGCGCTCTCCCTCGGCTAAAGCACGTCTCATCCTCCTGGATATATTCTTCATCGTCTTCGATTCCGCCAATCTTAGTTTGGCATTTGCTTCACTCTCCGAGGTGACAGGATCCTGCACCGAAGCGGAGGTCAACCAAATGATCGATCCTCGAAATGATAGTATATGTACGAGACAAAAGGCGCTTGCTACCGTATTGCTGGTTGCGCTCTTGGCTTGGCTCATGACATTCTCGATCAGTGTTCTCAGGTAAGCCTCTTGGCTATAATTGGCCTACTCGCTCCATTTTCTAACTTTCTACTAGGCTCGTTGAAAGAGTAACACAGTGAATTTCCGGTCTTGTTGTGTTTCATGGAATTTTGGCTGTCGATTAAATATACCATTTAAGCGAGACTCGATTTTGCGCAAGCGCAATTTTTGCTAGACGTGCAAAGCAGGACCGTCAACGCCATACAACGGATCTTGACGGAACCAAGCCACATCCTTGATTCTCTGCACCTTTGCTCCCTCTCCTGGCTTCCCATAGCACATATCCCACTGTTTTCCGTGTGGATATGCGCCGACCATCTGGAACTTTTCCTGGTTCCCATGCAGGTCCTCTAAGAGTCGATGGCCCACCCCCGCAGGCACAATGATCAAATCACCTCGCTGCACCGTGGGTTCGAATCGCCCGGGGTTCTCCTCGCCTCCAAAACAAAGACGCGCGCTCCCTGAAATGACCCCAAGCACCTCTGGCGTTGTGGAGTGGAAGTGGGTTTGGCTGTACATGCTGTATACCCATTGAGGAACAACCTCTCCTACTCCCTCCAGGTGCTCCTCGAGCTCTCTGTGTGTGGCATTGAAGGCACCATGGTATATCATGAGCGGCTTGGATTGGATCGAAGTGTTCGGTATATGATGCCACTCGGGGATTTGGCGAGTGGTCACTTCAGTGTTTGACAGTGGACTTATGGCCATTGCGAATGATTTTTTAATTTGCTTTGCTTGTTTTGCATGGACAAAGTCTTGGAGGAGTTAAGTTGGTACATAGACATCAACAGGCTGTAATACTTCAGGCGCGCAAGTGACGTCATTGGTGGGCGCAATATAAAAGTAGGACGTCGGGAGTATATAGGTTACTAAGATAATCCAGGTTATACATAAAAAGGCACTCCGTATAGTTTACGTTAGGAATAGCAAAAAGGAATTGGAACGCTTTTTCTCCACAGACTGTAAAGCAAAACGTAGCTGATTCTCGACATCTACCAGTTGGGAGATCGTCGTGCCGTAATGTCCATGAGAATGGTTCGCCATTGCTGTTAAAGAGTGCATGGCTAAGCGTCCGGTTACTCCCGATGACCATTTGTTTGTGTGACCAACATGCGCTGATACAAGTCTTCTATGTAAAGCTATATTCCCACTCGCGGGAAGCCTATGGCTCCTAGGAAATAGTAACAGCTACTCCCAGGAGTTTATGAAAAGACAGTATCAAAGCCCCGAGTTTTGATACTAACTTTAACACTTGCCTACGAGCTGTCCTGGAACTTAAACCATGCATCCACAACATCGCTTGTAGCCCATCTTTTCCAGACGCTGGGCAACCTTGCGGCGCCAGTCCCATTAAAGTCCTCATCTCCATCATGGAAATCCATTCCTGGGGAGAGTCGAAATTTTGTCCTGACCCATTCGATAGGCACATAGCCAGCGAGCTCCCAATCAATGATGCCTAGCGAGCCTGTCGAGACATCGACAAGAAGGTTCGTAGGGCCAAGATCGCAATGATAGAAGACAACTGTAGAGACATCCATACAAATCTCGGTACAATTCTTCAGAAGCTGTTGTGGAGCAAGAACATCCGCCATCTTGCTGTTGCCTTTGAGGGAATAACGTTCTAACAGTTGGTGTCGGTCCACACCACTAATGAGATCGCCCCTCCATGCTGCTAAGCGATTGCAAACATCTGCTACCTTTCCGATGTAATACTGGCGAAGAGTCTCGTCCATGTTGGGCCAAGACTCATGAAGGAGCTGGCCGGGAACCCTCGAGACGACGAGGAAGGATCGCGAGTCAGTCTCGAAATGATGGAGTACTTTCGGAAATTCAAAACCCTGCGGCTGCTGGTCTTTGAGAAATCGCAGAGTAACATTCTCTCTGGTTACATAGGGATAGTCCATGTGATGCATGCGCTTTGATGAAAGCTTCGCCTGCCCTCCAAACGGCCGCCTGGTTGTCGATCGCGAGGACTCTCAAGATAAAAGATGAGTCTTCTGTGAGGGAGTGGAGTCTGGAAGAGGCTCAGGTGCAGTGGAGAGGGCGAAATGCCCCCCCATTGCTGTCGCTTCAGCGTGCTTGGTCGGTTGGAATATTGTCCGGGGGTGGCGACGAAGAACGAGTAAGAAGAAGCGTCTTTGAGATTAGCCAGGAGCTTTTATCGACTTCCCGTATCGAATCATTGAGGTGCGGCTGAGGCAGGTTAGTCGATGATATTTTGATTGATCTCGATGTCCAAGGAAATGAGGAGACAAATGTCAGGCCGTTCTTTATAGGAGCACTATGAGCGATGAGCAGGGGGGATGAACCAGACCTGCGAACATCCGAGAGAGCAGTGACTCTGCGACTTTGTCACCACTGAACAAATACTCCCTCAGAACGCCCGGAACACCTTTCGCATCAATCTCGCGCTGGAAGAACGCCAGATAGTTCGAGTAATGCTCCTCTTGGAACATATGTTTCATGAACTCATCTTTGTCGAAAAAAGAGGCAATCGCTTTCTCATCCCGCGGGTAAGCAGGACGTTGGCGCTTGCCCTCTCGCTCGTATTGTAACTGAATGGTTTCGGGTGATGCCCCAAGAGCCCAAATGGTGAGCATAAAATGCACAATATGATCTACTTGCGCATTAGTAACTGCTGTTCAATATGGGTCGAGTTGATGAGTTACCATGAAATTGGATTTCATTGAGGTAAATATGGTGGCTTTCCATATCATGTTGGAGAACCTCGCTCACTTTTCGTGCGGACGCCCAGCTCAAATTGGGAGAGCTGAAGACGCCCACATTTTCCGGTGTCAGCCAAATCTTTGTCGAGGTAGCCATTGCGAAAGGTCTCTGGCTAAGTTAATTTGATGCCAGGCAAATCAGTTCAGGGTCCCAGTCGGCCCTTAAATACCCCTTAGTCGTCAGCATCGCAATGACTTAATAACGTCTAATCCGCCTGCAATCTGAATGGCGGTTCTCGAGGATAAGGACTTCCAACCAAGGTTAGGCTTTCGGCTTTCGGCTTTCGTTTTTTAGGTTTTAGGTTTTCGGATCTTCGGGTTCGGATCTCGGGTTTCCTACCTATTCAGGCCACAATGTTCCTCAAAATTGTAGCCTTCAAGCACGGGATGACTGACTTTTTGCATCTGACCATCGGGCTTTGGGGTCCTTCACCAGGAAGTCCACCACCAAAGACATTGTTCTTGCCAGAGAAAGACAACACTCGGTTGTAGATATAGTCTTATCCATGTACTCAGTGCTCTGATTAATTATCCTCTTAGAATGTCATAACACTAAGACGAAAAGACATCTAAAAAAAAGTTGTAGAAAGACCTCGGGACATCCCGAAAGAATCCAAAAAGAGGATCAGAGGTTCTTACATATAACGTCCCTTAGAGCATCGTGAGCCAGATAAATCAGATTCTCCAAAGTCCTGCGTCGTCAAGCATAGATGCCGCATATGGGGCCGACTACTCTTGTTGTCTGTCAGAGGTGAAGCTAATATGGCCATCACTACGAAAATGAACCACAGGAAGCCCTAGATGATTTTGCAAAATCGACACCTGGGAATGGGATTCCAATGTCCAACGCCCTCATGTCACCTAATCCTATGTGATGGAGAAGACGGGAGGAAATATCGCAATCTTCTAGCACACTCTAACCATTCCCTTTGACCAGATTTTTCGACGAACCCCTTCCTATCGTAAAGCGACCGATATTCGAAAAAAGCAGGAGCTTATAGATGTGGCAACTTGGATCTAGGATGCCCGAAATCTGTGACTTCCATGGGAGAACTGGAAGGGAGAAAAGAGAGGGAAAGAACAAAAAAAAGGGCACTGGCCAAAAGAGTATTCTCATAAAAGCGACGCAGCTCAGATAGGAAATACACTACATAGAGGTACCTACAGTATGGTACCTTAATACATTTTTAACCATCCCCTTATATCTGACCTAAGTTCATTCACCTTACTGGTATGCTTTTTTAATGATTATCGTTAAGGCATATAATCATTTCCTTGTAGACAAACACAAGTTAACATTCAAGATATGTGAATGACGTCATATACTTGTACACTACATATTTACAAAACAAACTAGACCTAATCGGAAATTTGAACATTGTAGCCCAATATTTCCTATCTGTTCCCCAGGTTGCGAGGCAGCAAGTACTTGTTTTACATTCAAGCCTTGCTATTCATCTAGGAGATATGGAATGCAAAGTCCGTAATAGTACTAGTAAAAAATATACATCTATCAGATCAAGTGCCACTAAAGACATATGTTGTGATACCATAAAGGTAGAGACAGGTCTATCGCGAAGAAGCAAAAGCCCAAAAAGAATGCGTATAAGTGTATCGTAAAATGCTGTTCGTTAAAGAAATAATAATCTATATGACTAGGGTGCTAGACTCGCTTTGATCAAAAAGCATCAAAGCCGATGATGTAGATTTGGCGGGAAAGCTCCGCCACCTCACCGCCTGCGGCAACAATGCCATCCCCACGCTCTGGTCCTTCTCAGCCTCATCACTGCTCTGCTCCCCTTCTGCCTAATCTCTTTTCCAAGTTCTGCTTTTGAAGTTCCCGAGGAGGGTGTCTTCTTGCTTGTTTTCTTTGACTGCCTGAACCCCGCTCTTGCAGCACAGCCCTACCCCTCCTAAGCGCCTACACTCATCTGGTCACCCGAATATCTTTTGAGGCGTGACGTGTGGCGCAACAACCGTCTTGAGGTAAGATTCATGATGTGTAACTTGCTGGTTACTATTGAGAGTTAAGGGTGCGTTACTGACTTGCGGAGCAGGATCCTCGGCCTCGACCACTCACTTTCTTCCGCATCCCACTCGACTCCCCTGCAACCGCGATGTCTCTCGCGATGCCGCCGGTACCTCACAAGGATGACCTTGATTCAACGTGAGTAGACAATGATCTGGGATATGCTTTCACACGGCGGTACGGCGTGAGCTAACTGTGGGTTAGTTGGTCATTCCTTGAAGCAGGGATCGAGAGCGTCATGCTCAACCTTGACTCCGGTATCGATATGAAGACTGTAAGTGAAATGCCGAAAAAGTTACTACCAGCCAGTGATCGTGTCTGAAACTAGAAGCTGACTCGCTGTTTTTGTCTAGTACATGGGTCTCTACACGTGTGTTCAAGATTCGATCCTACCTCCTTTATGACGAGAACCGCGCTCACAATTTGATATTAGGGCTGTCCACAATTTTTGCACATCCCAAAAAGCCGTCGCTAGCGGTCAAGGCCTACAAGGACAACGCGGGGGTTGGTTTTCTTCCCTTCATGCCGCACCCTCGGCTTCTCGATTCGAGCTGACCTGGACCCAAGCTCATCTGCTCGGCGAGGAACTTTACAAATTACTCGGCGAATACCTCTCATGCCATCTGAGTAAGGTTTACAAACAATCACAGAGCCACACCGAGGAAGGTTTGCTTGGCTTTTACATTCGCGAATGGTACCGCTACACGACCGCCGCCAAGTACGTGAACCACCTTTTCCGCTACCTCAATCGCCACTGGGTTAAGCGTGAGATCGACGAGGGCAAGAAAAACGTCTACGACGTTTACACCCTGCACTTGGTCAAATGGAAAGGGGACTTCTTCGAGAAAGTCCATGAGAAGGTCATGGACGCTGTTCTGAATCTGATCGAGAAGCAACGGAATGGCGAAACCATCGAACAGTCGCAAATTAAATCCATTGTGGACTCCTTCGTGTCATTGGGTCTGGATGAGAACGATAGCTCCAAGTCAACACTGGATGTCTATCGGCAGTACTTCCAGCTGCCGTTCATCCGTGCCACCAAAACCTATTACGAAAATGAATCGCGGCAGTTCGTGGCCGAAAATAGCGTGGTGGAGTATATGAAGAAGGCAGAAGCTCGTCTGGAGGAGGAGAAGCTCCGGGTCGGTTTGTATTTGCATCCAGATGTCACCAAGAGCTTGACCGATACCTGTCTCTCTGTTCTCGTCACCGCCCACTCGACTTTGCTTCGCGACGAGTTCCAAGTCTTGCTGGATAACGAGCGCCAGGAGGATCTCGCTCGTATGTATCGACTCTTATCACGGATCAAGGACGGCTTGGATCCTCTGCGCACGACCTTTGAAAACCACGTGAGACGGGCCGGTCTGACTGCTGTCGAGAAGGTCGCTTCGGAGGGTGAAACACTCGAACCCAAGTTGTACGTCGACGCTCTACTGCAAGTTCACACACGGTACCAGAGCTTGGTCGATGAGGCGTTCAATGGCGAGGCTGAGTTCGTGCGTTCTCTTGATAATGCCTGCCGGGAGTTTGTCAACCGAAACCGCATCTGCAAGACGAGCTCTTCCAAGTCTCCCGAAATGCTGGCAAAATACACGGACTCACTGCTAAAGAAAGGATCCAAGTCGGCTGAAGAGTCGGAGCTTGAGGAGATGCTGGTACAAATTATGACAGTCTTCAAGTATATCGAAGACAAAGACGTCTTCCAGAAGTTCTATTCCAAGAACCTGGCGAAACGTCTGGTTCATGTGAGCTCTGTTTCTGATGATGCTGAAACAAGCATGATCAGCAAGCTGAAGGAGGCGTGTGGTTTCGAATATACCAACAAGCTGCAACGGATGTTCCAGGACATGCAGATCTCCAAGGATCTTAATAACAACTACAAGGTCTGGCAGGACAAAGTGCTAGATGATGATGACCGAAAGAGATTGGCCGATGCCCACTTCCAGGTCCTGGGAACTGGCTTCTGGCCCCTCAACGCTCCGACCACACCATTCCTTGCGCCACCGGAGATCGTCAAGACCGCCGAACGGTTCCAGAAATTTTACTTTGACAAGCACAGCGGCCGCAAGTTGACATGGCTGTGGCAACTTTGCAAGGGAGAAATCAAAGCTAACTATATCAAAAACGCCAAAGTGCCCTACACCTTCCAGGTGTCGACCTACCAGATGGGCATTCTTCTCCTTTTCAATGAAGCTGACACTTTGTCCTACGATGAAATCGAAAAGGCCACCACCTTGGCTACCGAAATCCTCGATCCCAATCTTAGCATCCTGCTCAAGGCCAAAGTCCTCATCGCCAGCCCCGAGGGCGCTAAGCCCGAGCCCTCCACCTCGTTCACATTGAACTACAACTTCAAAAATAAGAAGGTCAAAGTCAACCTCAACATTCAGATCAAGTCTGAGCAAAAGGTCGAGGCCGACGACACACACAAAACGATAGAAGAGGACAGGAAGCTTCTGCTCCAGGTATGTCTCGTAGCTAATCATCACTTCCGACACAGCCCATTTGTCCTAACCTTGCTGTAGTCCGCTATTGTTCGAATCATGAAGTCACGCAAGAAGATGAAGCACGTCCAGCTTGTCCAGGAGGTTATTCAGCAGGTCAAGTCCCGCTTCCCGCCTAAAATCCCCGACATCAAGAAGAACATTGAAGCCCTCATGGAGAAGGACTACATTGAGCGCATGGATGGCGATGAAATCTCATACATTGCCTGAATCAACTTACCCCCCTCCCCTCCCTTCCTCCAATATTGCACAACCAACTTGCTTCTATTTCCTTTTTTCTGTTGCTCTCTGCTTTTGCTACTGTCTCTTCCTGACCAGTGGTTTCCTACGTCACTTTCTTGTCCTTGTATGCCATCGATGATGGAAAAGCAAGGCAAGGGGGAATGGGACCCCTGCTGGTCTAGGATAGGACAATGGGTAGCTCGCGGATGGAATCAGGCTGATAGGAGCAGGAATTCCTCTCATTGTTTCGGCGACTTATTTTATGTTTCTTCATAGCGCTGAGACGACAATCAAATGATGACCTCGTTATTTTCTTTGCTCTTTGCCCCGTGGTTCTTTTCTTTCTTCTCTGAAAATACTAAATATAATAATTTGATGATTCCGTTCTGCTCCGAATGCTAGAGATCTGCCCTCATCGAAAGAATTATACCTTCTAATTATGGATCCTAAATTATTGAGTTAACACAAATATCTTTAGATCCATAATTAGAAGCTATAATTCTTACAGCCCACCACAAGACAGTCCGATGTATTCTAATGACGTACAATGCAGAAAGAAGACACGAAAATAATGCTGAAGAAAATCGAACGATTTCATTTCAATCCTCCATTCAGTGGATCAATATGCGTAGTACTGGCCAGACCCAGTGTATATTTATGTATAATCAACATGAGAACTATGCCAGAATGGATATGCTATGTAAAGCTAGAGACAACAAGAAAGACAGAAGGCAAAAGAGTCCGTGAAGTACTGAATCACCCTAGATGCGAAAAATGCAAAGCCAACCTCCGCTCCGAATCCAGCGCGCTAGTTCGTACCAGACGAGTCCTTGCTCTGAGTTGGATGCGCCTCTTCTTTGGCAGGGGGTGCTACCACCAGGTCCTCAGGCCGTGTATCTACCACCACACCGCTCGAGGATGTGGGTTCCTTCTGGCTCTGGGAAACATTTCCCTCGGTCTTCAAACTCAACCCCAGGCCTTCACTTGGCGTGAGAGCCACAGAGGAGAACCCATCTGCATCGACTGTATCCCGCTCAGTGGTCTTTTCATCGTGGATAAGGTCCTGGGTCTGCTTGTGTTCCGCATCATCCGCATAAGCCGGAAACCCCTGCGACAGAGGAGACTTGGGGAAGGGAGTCTCGATAGAATCGGATGTGGAGACATCATCGCGACGCTGGAACTCGCCGCTGTCGCGCCTGAGCAGGATATTACTCCATCTCTTTCTTCGGCTGGCGCTCCGAGTAAGACCACCGTCGGAGCTATCGTTGCCTTCGCTATTATGTTGGATGGAACGGCGGCGGCCGCGGTCCAACTCGGCTGTTTCGGTAACAACTGACAAGACCGGGGCGGATGGCGAAGTCAAGTCGGCATTGGGAGTGGCACTCGGACTTGGGGATGTGACGCGCTTCTCTTGCCATTCGCGGCGCTTTTCGCTCGCCCATGTGCCCCACGAGCTGAGATAGGAGCTGGCCTTTTGGCTGGCTACGCTCACGGAGGTCTGGGCCTGTGTCATGTCGACGGATGGCCTTTGCCGGCCTGCGAACCAGGAGCCATCGGTGGAATCCTGTGAGGAGGGGGTTGGTGATGTTGGCGTTTCTTTGTCAATGGAGGTGCGCTGCGATTGAGACGCGGATTTCTCTTCGGCGCGTTTGCGCTGCGCTTCGCGCATCGTCTCGATGTCAGACCAGAAGCTGGTGAATGCCGCGCTCACTTTCTTTTGTCCGGTTGCAAAGTGGCGATTCAGGGCCTCGCGGCCTTCGCGGACACGCTCATCAAGGTGCAGATCTGCTACCTGTTGTGAGAGTCGTCTTTGGATATCTTCCATCGTCAGACCGCCAGCGCTTGGATGCCGTGGCTCAGTGATGGAAAATAGGAGCGCATCCGAAGTGAGACGCGAAAACAGGGCGTAATTAGATGTGTTTTTCCACTGGGCCAGGAAGTCCGTATTGAAGTCGATGGCAGGGTCCCCTTCAATGTTGAGATTTTGCAGCTGAGTTCTGCTGAGGTGCCCCGATTCTCCGGCATCGCCTGGGTAGAGCTCCTCGTGGTATTTCATGGACGATAATAATGCCAGCAAGTATTCTTCGAACTGTAGTCGAATGAATTCTTCTGAGCCCATAAAGCCAAGTGTCTTGGGTTGTGAAGGATGTTCCTCGTCCCAAGTGTTATTGACAATTTGTGTGAGCAGGTCAATCCAGCGCCTATCGGCCGCGGAAAGGACCAGGGCACTGCGAAGGGAAGGAGAATTTATGACGATACTATCCTCGTCAAGGTTAATTAGAATATCACTGTACCGGTCCTTTTGCTGGAGGAGTAGCGAGTTTGTTGAGCCAACCACATATGATTTTGTGCCATCATCTGCCAGCAGATCCAGCAGCTGGAGAGGTGTATAGGGTCCAAACATGCTTCCCTTTCCGAAGATTTGCAGTGGAAGCCCCATGTATGCCAACAAAGAACTTCTGTCACTCGTCTTGAGAGACGTTGGTTTCTCAGCTGTCTGAGAATAGGTGTCAAAGGCAGGATCCGCACAGTCCTGCAAGCTATTGATGAGGCCGGGTATTAAAGATATAAGCGAGAACTGAATCATGCACAGGCGCTCACAGCGCGTCCCGAAGAAAAGCATCTTAGGCTGCAACAGTAGTGCCTTGAAAAGAACCAAAGTCTGAAATTTGAATTCGTGGATCATCTCCCGAAGCGAAAGGCCTTCATACATTAGCAAATTGCCAGGCATATATGAACTGATGGTATCCTTACCCAAGTTCTGATCTTTTGGGCCATCATTCAGTAGAGCGATCACCAGGCCCTCGCGGAATTTCTGTATCCATGTTAATATTTCCTTCTATACATCGCCGCAGCAAGTACATGCCTTCAAGATATCAACATCCGAGAAATCACTATCAAGAAGAGTGCTCAATTAGCCACCTTTTCTCATTCTGAGCCGGATTCTATCCAGATCCCATGCCAGCGCATTGAGAAAGCGAATAGTCCACCAGAGCAAGTATATCCCACATACCGTTGCGCAAACCAAGCGGAAGTCACCACAGAGAGCTTCTCGCGCAATTGACCTACTCGCTGCGGAGTATCTGTCACAACCACAACGGCCTTTTGTACCGTTGACCGAGTCACATCGGGCGGGCGGTTGATAAGCAGACTCGAATCGATCTGGCGGGAGCAGGCGATGCCGAAAAGGGAGGTTGCGGGTGTTGTGGATGTGCCCTTTCGGCAGAGTGTGAAGTATGAGAATTCCTCGGTCGATCTGAAATTCGACGGGTTAGTTGGTCTGGCGCAAATCGGCTCTCCTCGTCGCGGGATTGCGCCAGAGGAGACCAAGAATGGAAGGGAACGAAATTTTTGTCGGGAACGGGGTTATCTTACAGATGTGCTCCGTCAGATAGGGCCATGAATGGGAGCAGAGACCAGTCATTCTCAGTTGCTGGGTCGGTCCCTTCGTCGGCAATGCAATGCTCGATCTCGGGGCCGCTGCAGGCGTATGTCTCAGTCAGCCAGGTTCCATTACGGGCCCGTCTTTGTCCTCGTTTCAAATATACGAGCCCAGGGGTCTCCAGTGTCTCGCTCACCGTGCATGGTGGAAATCTATGACCAAGACAATTGGGTCTTGTTTATGCTGGACAGCCATTGCGCCGAACCTTGCGACAGGGAATTCGGTTCGGCTGTGAGGAATGCAATTAAAATGCAGAGAATGAACAATTTGAATGAATGGCTTGCAATATGTAGAAAGAGGTCCTTCTCCTCCAAAACCTCGATGTAGGTTTTCCCATGAGAGTATGATCGTCGCAAACAGGGGAACATCGCTGATACGGTTATCGCACAGGCGGTGAACGGTAGCCCCGCCAATATCGGAGGGCATCAACATCACGTACGTCTCCAGGACTGGGGAAGAATTATAATAGGTATTGGAGAAATAACTTAGATTGCGTAGATATTTCAAAGGATTAAAGGTTATGAGGTGCTCCATCGCTGAACTAAATCAGATGCCCCGTATGGTTTCTCCTAATCACCAACCAATTCTTGACGACGCCGAAAGAGCTATGGACAATGATTTCCAGAAAGACAAAAAGAAACAAAGTAGGAAATGAAAGTAAAATAAAAAGCACAAGTAAACACGCCAGCTTCATAGCACCATTGAACAGAAATAGGGCCAGGCCTCAAATTTTGAGACTGGAATTCAATGGCAGAAGAGCGTTTCTTGGGGGGATTTCGCGTCAAACAATTATGCGAATGCCTGTCCAGTAGCGTTGCCCTGCACTGCGCCCTGTACCAAGGCTTGACCAGCCTCATTGCCTTGTTCAATGTTGTGGAAGTCGAGAATTTCCGAGTACCTATAGTGGTGAAGAATTAGTAAAAAGAATCGTGGCAACGTAACAAATGAAGCACGTACATCATGATTTTCCAAGTATCTACGGGAAGATCGGCATCATTGAACGACCAATCAAACTTCTCTTGTGATACAGGCTCGTCTGTCGGGTCGTGGTAGGGCGCCAGGTACTCATGCGCTAATGCTTCGGAGGCTTGAATGCGCTGTTTTGGGTTGAAAACCAGCATCCGCTCGAGCAGGTCAACCGCTAGAAGAGACAAGTCAGCATGTTAATCCGCATAGTCGGCTCAAGTGTCACGTACCATCGGCATCGGCGTTCTTGAATTTATTTGCGAGAGGTTGGCGCTCGCGCTTTGGTAGTGACTTGACAAATCGGAGTGTCTGGACCATCATATATTAGCATGTTCTCGTCTTTCACCGAACAAAGAATAATTACTCACGTTCTCGCTACAGATCGTCTGGATCACATCATCGGGGGGAGTCCCAAGCAACTCCGTGATGATCGAAAACTGGTTGACATGGTCCTTTCCAGGGAACAGCGGCTTTCCTTCCAACATCTCGGCGAAGATACAGCCAGCGCTCCAGATGTCTACCTCGACATCGTACTTTTGCCAGGTGAGCATGATCTCGGGCGCGCGGTAGTATCGTGTTGAGACATAGCCGGTCATTTGGGGGTCCTGGATGCGGGCAAGACCAAAGTCGCAGATTTTCAGATCACAGTTCTCGTTAATCAGGATGTTACTGGGTTTCAGATCCCGGTGGACCACACCGGCGGAGTGAACGTATTTCAAGCCGCGCTATCAACAGGTCAGATTTTGGTGTCCCGATATTATTCCCGTGGAAATCTTACCAGAATTTGGTATAAGAAGTACTGAATGAATTGCTTTTCAAGAGGTCGCGAAGTAAGAAGTCGGTGGAGGTCAGTTCCCAGAAGTTCGGTGACGAAGTAGCTGTGGTCATTAGTATACGCTATTCAGCCCCGCCTTGTAGATAAGGGGAACATACATGTCTTCCAAAGGCGAAATGAAAATGTCACTCAAGCTGATAATCTGCGGGTTGTCAGCAAATAAGCCTAGTCCATCTGTTTGACAGAGTACGGACGTTCTCGTGACGGAGATGTTTGAGCAGCTTCAGCTCCCGGTAGGTTCGCTTGGACAGAACGGGGGTACTGAAGGGCTTCATGATTTTCTTAACTGCCACTGGCTGCGCGGTCAATTGGTCTTTGGCAGAACTGTTGTATTCATGACCTGATTAGCATGTACCTGGGTTTTAGAATATCTTGTGCGACATAGAATGCAACGTACCAGACAAGTCCGAAGGCACCCATTCCCACGGGCTGCAGTTCGGTATACCTAGATATCAAGTTAGCACCAGCGTTCTCCTGGAGGCGCCTGCTGAAGCGCCCATAGTAAATATCGAGGAGCAGGGCATTGCGAACCGGCTGGTGATCTCAAAGGTAGTGCCGAAAATCTGGGCACGTACGAATTCCGCCATGATGGAAGGTGGGGTATGCAAGCGGATAAACGAGAAAGAGAGAGATTCCAATAAGAATTTCAAGCGAAAGACGAAAGAGAGAGAAGATGAAGTCTTTCAAAAGGGAATTGCCAGAAGAAAGGGGTCGCGAAGAAAGCAAGTGTGTTGGCAACAGGTGTGGGGAAGGGACTTGGTGAAAAGCGCAGAAAACAAGGCCGATGACGTTGGCGAAGCCCGGTTTTATAGGGATGACTCAGCAACTTCAAGCCTGTCCAGTAACTAACTATATTAAAATGGGGTTTATTAGATTAGAGTAGATTGGAGCAGTTGTTTTATTTACTTCCATAATATCTAATGATTTAATTCATTTCCCATACAATATAACATCCTATTCCATGCCCAGTTGATTGTGTGAACTTACCAGGTTGGCAAGTTGCCGCTCCACAACCACGCGGCCCAGACCCCGGTCTTATCCCGGAAGATGTTTCCCTTGGACAGCATTGCTCTTGATATTGATATAGACTGTAGGGCTTATATAAACATATACAGATGAATTCGACAAGGTTTATCTACTATGTGTATTAATTCTTTAAATCTGCGCTTAACTCGCTCGGTAACCGGTGTACAGTTCTTGGGCCTCTATTTAGAACCTTGGCAGGTCAGAGTACAACCCCCTCACCTTCAATCTTCTTAAAGCAGACGTGATAAACATTGGGATCTATCAAGTCTACATATGTAACTATATAAGCTCTACCGTAGCTTCCTTTCTGATGCTCTTATAGGTCCGGTAGACTTTCCCGGATGACATTGCTGTACAAGAGGGACTGCTTCCAGCCCTGGAGGTCTAGAACTAGAGCACATCCCTTCAGCATACCAGATGTCCCCTCCACAAACTAAGCCAGTTCCGATCTTCCATGACATGGTCCTCTTGGCTTACAAAACTATCTCCCAAATCATCCATACACCGTACATACTATATCAAGGACCCGGAACATGCACCCAGCCGTAATGGCCATGTACAATACAACCCTAGAGGAAATTGAACCAAGACCTTGGCTCAGATATTAGTTTCAACGGGGGTATTTGGGTCCGGTCACCGTCTAATGTGGATGCGAATTTGGCGGCTGAGACATGTGAAACAATGCCTGCCACGCTACTGCGGAAATGCAACTGCAGACACGCAACTGCAGACATGCAACAAAGACCTTTGAATGGTGTGATTATGGTTAGACAGGAATGCAGCTCATTTTAAACTCTAGACATACCTTTCGGGGTTTGGTATTCCGGAGCACGGAGTACACGTTCGTATTGTTGTACCCATAAATCCTTGTGAAAATATAGATATGTGCTGACTCTCCGTGACTTGATGATTGCCCCTAGTTAGTTCAAACTGCCTATGTATTGATAATATCAAGAACAACAAGCCCTTTACCTTGATTCTTGTGCCCCCTGTACATCTATTCACAGGGCTGAATTGACTCCCTTATTATTAGGGAAGGGGTCAGTGCCCGGCTTCACCGCATATCCGAGAGAAGTCATGATCCCGGAAAGCAAAACACAAAGCAGATCCATAGCATGTATAGACATATGTATATATAAGAGTATCCAGCTGTTGTACGGAGTACAAATGTAGATGTCAGATACACACCGAGAACACAACCCCGCCCTGCCTGAGGCAGCGCCCCAATTTTGCGTCACTCTCCACTTTAAAGCTCCAGAAGTGGGTTGAAAGAGTATGAAACGGAGTACAGAACTCCTGATCAGAGATTTGGGAAGATTTGCAAATCTATATAGATAAAAAAGATCGAACTTCCGATTGATACATTTGGGACAAAAATACATGATCGCACAGACGGTCATCTGGTGGCGCCCCATTAAATTAGAACCCCCGGGATTCAGTCGCTTAAACAACGTTCTCTATAGGAGTATTAGTATTACAATTTGTGATGATATTGCCCGGGCTAAAATCCAAGGGAATTTAATAGATCATACCCTACATGGAGGATCTGACAGCAGAACGTGCCCCAATTTCCCCCCGGTTATACCAGTATGTGGTACGTATGTACATAGCTAAATAGATAAATACACAATAAGCTCTAATATGCCTTGGAAATAGGATATAATGACCATATAACCACAAAGAAAAGAAAAAGAAAAGAAAACGGGTGACATTAATTACCAAATGTAAGCTCCGTACACGTTTCTTACATTTCTTACACTTTCTCCCCCAAATCATCTCCACTCCCCCAGCATGACGATGGTCGCACTGACACTCTGATTCTTTAAACTCTTGACACTTTTATTACCCTGAGTCTACTCTACTCTTACCTTAGTTGCTCTTTGAAGCTCAACATCTCAATCTCATTCCCGATACTGGGCGTTTACCCATCTCCCGCCTCCGTCCTAACCGCTGTACCCGAACTCAACGCTCTCCTTCCACCTCGTCGCAACTCCTTCAACCTCGACGTTTCGCCTTGACATCTTCTTGACCTTGATCCCACTGAAATCGGTTCCGATCTCGCCTGTCGCCATTTCTACCCCCTAATATCTGGTTGCGCTGATCCTTCCCCGTGCGTGGCGCTTGGCAGTCTTCGCAAGCGAAGGCTCCGGCCGTCTTGACCGGCACATTTTGTTCCTGCGCGTGGTTGATGAGTCTTATCCCTGCTGGTCTGGGTCACTGACGATTCCACAATGGGGATGTGTTTCAGCATGGAGTCCACAGGGGACGCGGAACAGAAGAAGCGAAGCCAACAGATCGACCGCAAGCTAGAAGAAGATTCTAGGCGGCTACGGAGAGAATGCAAGATCCTTCTTTTGGGTAGGTATTCCGGGGTTTGCTTGGAGGAGAACTTATGGCTGATTTCAAAACTCCCGTAGGATCTGGAGAAAGCGGCAAATCAACGATCGTAAAACAGATGAAGATCATCCACCAAAATGGTTATACCATGGAAGAACTTGCGCTGTATCGATTGACCGTGTACAAGAATCTTCTGGATTGCGCAAAAGCCCTCATCGGAGCATATCACTATCTCCAACTCGAACCGTCTAGCCAGAAGGTGCAGGACTACATTTCATTTCTGGAAGAGTACAACGTGGATCCGGATCCCACCACTCCGCTCGATCCGAAAATCGGCGATGCCATTACATATCTCTGGAACGACCCGTGTACATCAACAGTTTTGGAGCATCAGAATGAGTTTTATCTGATGGACTCGGCACCATAGTAAGTCCACCCTTTCCCCTGATGCCAAGGCCGAGTTCTAACCCGCGATCAGTTTCTTCGAGGAAGCGAAACGAATAACGGCCCCCGACTACGTCCCAGATGTTTCAGATGTGCTCCGGGCACGAACAAAGACCACCGGTATCTATGAGACGCGCTTCACAATGGGCCAATTGAGCATACAGTACGTGGAAACAGCCTTCGACACTCACGATTTGGAATATCTCTAACCAGCCACAGCATGTTTGATGTGGGCGGCCAGCGCAGTGAGCGAAAGAAGTGGATTCATTGCTTCGAAAACGTGACATCCATTATCTTTTGCGTTGCGCTCAGTGAGTACGATCAAGTACTACTGGAAGAAAGCAATCAGGTATGAGGTCTCGATACACCGAGCATACTATACCGGAGCTGACAGACCTTGCAGAATCGTATGATGGAAAGTTTGGTTCTCTTCGACTCCGTGGTCAACTCTCGGTGGTTCATGCGGACAAGTATCATCCTTTTCCTGAACAAAGTTGATTTGTTCCGCTTGAAGCTGCCTCGATCACCGTTGAGCAAGTACTTCCCCGATTACTCGGGCGGCAACGACGTGCACCGTGCCGCCAAGTACCTGCTCTGGCGATTCAACCAGGTGAATCGAGCACACTTGAACCTGTACCCACAGTGAGTTTACGTGATCCTAACATTGCCAGTTCGCACGCACCGTGATTTCTGACTGATTTTCCTTCCCCTTTAGTCTCACCCAAGCGACTGATACCTCGAATATCCGTTTGGTCTTTGCAGCGGTCAAAGAGACTATCCTGCAGAATGCCTTGAAGGACTCGGGTATTCTATAGTCGCTGAAATATACCCCGAGGACCCAGCCACACAAGTGTTCTCATGTGCGTAAGCGCACTTTCCCACGAACAAACACCGTCCCTTTTCTCAACGCCGCTCTCGGTGTCTCTTGATTCCCCTCTTTAGGAGACTGCCTGAACAGTTCTCCAACGATCACTCATACCATACCCTTTTCGTCTTTGTGCTTTTGATTTTGACCAGCTGCAGGCGTTGATGGCGCCTTTTAAGGCTTTCTCGGCTGATTTCCCCGCTGACTCTGGTCTGGGGACATCCCATTTGGTACTTAATGTGGTTTTCCTCTATTAAACATGGGTCTATGTTCCATAAAGGTGTCAGTAGCATGTCCGGGCAGTCAACTATGCTACTGTTTCTGTTCCATGTGCATTCTCCTCTTTAAGTCCCGGAGTGAGCGTATGACAATCCCGAAAATACCACCGGGCAAGAACCCCGGTAGCGGGACTGGATACTTTCCGGACTGCCTTTCGTGTACTCGATAATCACGGGGTCCGCACCAGCCACGGGCTTTTTCCTTCCAATGTTGCCTTCACTATATGCCATATCTTTTCTTTGCCTCGTCTCCAGGTCCGTTTCCAGTCCATGCATACCATGGCGGTTTTCCTATTCCAACATTGCCATGTCCTGCTCTGATATGTACTCCCGCTAATTCCTCTCTGTGTCTTATGTGTTTCTCTTCTTCTTTCTCCCATATAACTCATTAACCCGCGATTCCAAGCGCTTCCGCGTCTGATGCTTTGATTTTTCTTTTGCTTTTGCTTTTGTGCTTTATTACTAGGTTGTGGTTCCTTCAGCGACCTCTCGAGGACTCTTATCTATCTTTCTGCATAGACTGATATCGGGATTTCTGAGCATGGGTCATGTGTCAGATCGATTCCCGGAGCCCTGGTCGGGCGGGACGGAGTTGGGATTGGGGCGTGGCCCGGGCTTATTTATGTATACTGAGCCTCGATATATCAATTCTCCCATTTGAGACTGCTTTTGTTCCTGCATAATGTCCTCCGTAGATGTGCTTGATGTAGAGCGTAGTCGCGAGAAGCTCTTAGACTTGGATAGCCAAACTGTGGTTGATATCTAGTCTGGAAGTGTGAGAGAGGTAGCAGCTTGTAGGCGAGGATTCTTCGAGTACAATTATAAATGGAAATTAATTGGCCAATAGGACGCTTGCACACTAGAGAACCATATTGGTGTAATCTCCCCGTTTGGGAGACTCTCAACTTGGTCGAACATACAAAGTAAGACGAGGATGGATCAGGCTTTCCAACCCTGCTCCATAACCTGGCGAAGGGTGCGTGGTTCGATCTCCGGGAAGCGGCTATTGAGTGTATCATTCTCGGGCAGATCGAAATGCCCCGCAGCTGTCCAGCGGCCAAAGACAGCCAGGATATATTGGAGTTGCTCTTTGGGCAAGGAAGTGTACAAAGCAGAATGGGATGGAAGCTCGGTAACTTGGAAAGTGCTTAGCTTTTCCAGGTCGTCGTACGCGACGTTGAATTTGGTGCCTAAATTCACTGTGAGAATGTCATCAAGCAAACCTGCATTAGCGTGACAAACCTTTGATTTCTTCGGCAATAGAGAGAGCCTCGTTCCACGTCTTTTTGTCTCCAATGATGACGCTGCGCTTAGGCCAATCAGCCTGACTGGTCAGGGCGGCAACAAACCTTGCCACATCGAAAGTATATGTGAAAACCACAGGAGTGTTGCCCGAGCCTGGGATAGCAGCCGCATTCTGTGCCATGTCAAGAGCGAAAACGAATGGTTGTAGGTAGCTTTTCACCCGCGGTAGACCATAATAGTCCATGAAATAGCCATTGGTCACCGAGGTAAACTCGAGGCTTGTGGATTCCAACTTCTGAACTGCCGCAAGCTTGCCTTTCATGATAGGAAACAAGGTTGCATGTCTGTGTAGAAAAGTCAGATCTCAATATGTTGACACCGACCCCAGGACCGTGCTTACTCTTCAGTGTAAGCAATGCCGTATTCGCTGGGAATGAAACGCTTTGTGCTCAAGGATTGATCAGCTGCCGCAATAAGGTTCAGCTGCGAGTTGCTAGCATCATCATCGACGACTGTCATTGCAGAAACAATGGTGTTTATCTTGTTGTCTTCCAAGAGCTTGACGAGGGACTCAATGTTTGAATACTGAGCCGGTATGATCGTGACACCAAGTTCTTCGGAGAGAACCTTGTTTTCCTAGAGAAGTTCAATGACTTAGCCAAATGGCCAAAATTTCCGAATCGAACATCATACCTGTCTAGCCAGAATATAGACAGTGTGGCTGGTAGTTTTCAGAACCTCCACGATTGCTCGACCGAGCTTGCCTGTCCCGCCGGCGACTGCTATGATGGCCATTGTGATTGATGCTTCGGTAGTCTCTGAAGTGAATGCCCAAATGATTTAGTCGATAATTCAGAGCACCGAGCGCATTATTTATATTGTGACATACCGGATTGCGATATCAGAATTCTTCCGTATTACATATTTGCTTAGAAACAAATGATATCGGCGTTGGGCGACTATGTATTGGAGTCTCGGATCTGGCGGAACCTGGGGATCTTTCGTCGCAGTTTGCTTCCGACACCTCTGCACGGCACATCTGCTTCCGTTGCCGGATGCAATTTTTCCCGACAGTTTTGCTTCTTCTTTTGCTCATTGTGCTCCATCATATTTTGTTGCAAATATGGGAACACCCAAACGCGATGGATATTCAGCCAAAGGGCGAGCCTTTAAACGAACTTCCATGTAAGAAGACCAGAAGATCTCGTGGTAGGAATGTTTGAAATGTCAACGGAGAAAGGAACGACGCGATGGCATCTCTCCGAAGTGCTCTTCATGTGCCGGATGCTCTTTGACTTGTGCCTACCTTGGGTTGAGACGGAGAGGCCGAGTGCGAAGGCCGAGGGAAACCGTACGCTGGTCTTGATGCATGTTTCTTCACCTAATCAATCGTCTATACAAACACTTATTGAGAACAACTCGAGGCAAGGGTGGCAGAATTGCAAAGCTCTCGTCACCACCCCCACAGACATACCTGCGGAATCAGCAGGTGGCGAGGTAGATACGGGCTATACCGCTCTCCCTCCCAGCCTACAACCAATCCCCCGACCTGCAGACCCCGGCCCGTCCCACCACACAGCCACCCATGTCATAGCACCAAGCCCCACTAAACGATTTTCCTGATAATATAGTTCCAAGGTGTCCGGGCTAGAACCTCCTCAAAAAGCCTATACCGTGTAATGCGGGCAGGTACCCTCGGCGCACGGTACGCGCTTCATGCAATGCGTCTGTGCGTTGGCGTTCGCGGGGTATCTTTGCAGGCATTTGGTGAGCCGGACAAACAGTAGTGAGACATGACATTGAGTAGATATGGGCTTAATGGTTGGTGGTTGGTAGTAAGAGATGGTTTCGGGAGGAGATGATAGCTGTTGTGGAGATGAGCCGGAGCCAGAAGAGCTGGACTTCTCCACTGATTTATATTGGTTTTTGGCTTTTGGCTTTTTTTTATGCGAGAGAAGTAGAAATTGCATGATGTGTTAGACATTGTCACATGTACATAGCTTGGACCATCCTGTATGTATGTTGTTAGTAGAATCAAGGATTAAAGTGTATACTCTCAGAGTATAATAGATAGATGACGTACTTCTATATGCAGTAGCACTCCAAAAAGAGAAAGAAGACCTAGATTGACCAAGAATAATTATTTCAATTATTTCAATTATATTAAAAAGAACTAAAAGAATAAACGAACTGAAACTAAAAAAAGAATGGCCGGTGTCACTCCAAAAGTCATGACTACATATGAACGGGCCTTCCCCTCTTTCTCTTGGTACTTGCAGTCCTCTTTTTTCCTTTCTATACTGGGATTTCTCCTTACTCTCCAAATTCCATTTCCCTTTCTCTTCCCATCATGCCAACCAACCCAGATGCCGTTGCAACCGAGCCGACCCAACCTCGTCGGGAGCGAAGACCTTCGGTAGGAGCTCCTATTGCCGATCTCCAGGGACCCGTCGGCCCGGGATTCAGTCGTCCCAAGCACAAGCGCACATTCACCGGACTTGGACCTGCCGAGATAAAGAATGTTGAAGCTAGCATTCCTGAGCCACTACGAGAAGCGTGAGTACCTGCTTCCCTCGCACTTTCCTATAGTGGGACTGACGACAATCCTCACAGCTGGAGGGAACATGTATGTTGAGACGAAATCGAGATTCGGGTCTGGATACTAATCCTTCGAGTCAATTTAGTCGGCTGCTGAATTCACCAGTAAGGAAGAATTTGAGGTGAGTCCGACTTGTATTCGCATTTGATACTTCGGGTTTAACACCTCTCGCAGAAATACTTCGTGCGCCATGTCGAAACGACACTTGCTCGCTCGCTATATAATTGCGATGAGTTGTATGTGCCTTGTGCCTTGATACAAACGGTCCCTGCTGACTTGGGGCTTTCTATAGGGCCGCGTACTCGGGAACCGCGCTTGCTTTTAGGGACCGATTGATCATCGAGTGGAATAAGACTCAACAGCGCCAGACTTTCACCGATCAGAAGCGAGTCTATTGTATGTGTCTAGCTCGGTGACACAAGGCAATGGCTAATCACTGGAGTAGATTTGTCGCTTGAGTTCCTCATGGGACGTACGTTGGACAATGCTATGCTGAATGTTGGCTTGAAGGATGTTGCTCGAGGTAAGTGCTAAGACTATCCGTGATCTGGATCATCGCTGATGGTACCAGATGGATTGAGCGACCTTGGATTCCGCATCGAGGACGTCATCAATCAGGAGCACGATGCAGCATTGGGCAACGGCGGTCTGGGACGTCTGGCGGCGTGCTTTTTGGACAGTATGGCGACGCTGAACTACCCAGCCTGGGGATATGGGCTGCGTTACCGCTATGGTATCTTCAAGCAGGAGATTGTCAATGGCTACCAGGTGGAGATCCCAGACTACTGGCTGGACAATAACCCTTGGGAATTCCCGCGACACGAAATCACAGTCGACATCCAGTTCTATGGTAACGTCAAAAAGTACCAGGACGAGAATGGCAGGATCTCGAATTCGTGGGAGGATGGTGAGATTGTTCAAGCCATCGCATACGATGTACCCATTCCGGGGTACGGCACGAAGACCACCAATAACCTTCGTCTGTGGTCTAGCAAAGCCAGTAGCGGAGAGTTTGACTTCCAGAAGTTCAATGCTGGAGACTATGAAAGCGCAGTGGCAGACCAGCAGAGGGCGGAAACTATCTCAGCTGTTCTCTACCCCAATGATAACCTCGAGCGAGGCAAAGAACTCCGTCTAAAGCAACAGTACTTCTGGTGCGCAGCCTCACTGTTTGATATCGTTCGGCGGTTCAAGAAGACAAAACGGGCCTGGGCCGAGTTCCCTGATCAGGTCGCCATCCAGCTTAACGACACCCACCCAACCCTTGCCATTGTTGAGCTGCAGCGCATTTTGATTGACAAGGAGGGCTTGGAATGGGATGAGGCGTGGAACATCGTGACCAAGACCTTCGGATATACTAACCACACTGTGCTTCCCGAAGCGCTGGAGAAATGGTCTGTCCCGCTGATGCAGAACCTACTTCCACGACACTTGCAAATTATCTACGAGGTGAATTTGTTCTTCTTGCAATCCGTTGAGAAGCGATTCCCCAATGACCGTGATATCCTGTCGCGCGTCTCGATCATTGAAGAGTCGCATCCCAAGATGGTGCGCATGGCCTACCTGGCCATCATTGGCTCTCATAAAGTCAATGGTGTGGCCGAGCTGCATTCAGACCTGCTCAAGTCCACTCTTTTCAAAGACTTTGTGAAGATTTATGGACCAGACCGCTTCACTAATGTTACCAATGGTATCACCCCAAGACGCTGGCTCCACCAAGCCAACCCCAGGTTGTCTGCATTGATTGCAGAGAAGCTTGGGGGCTATGACTTCCTGAAGGACCTCACTCTTCTGGACAAGGTAGAGGCCTTTGTTGACGACAAGGCCTTCCGCGAGGAGTGGGCCGTCATCAAGCGGGAGAACAAACTGCGCCTAGCCAGACACATCAAGGCCACCACAGGATTCGATGTCAATCCCAATGCCCTCTTTGACGTGCAGGTGAAGCGTATCCATGAATACAAGCGCCAGCAGCTCAACATCTTTGGAGTCATCCACCGCTACTTGAGTATCAAAGCCATGTCAGCTGAAGAGAAGAAAAAGGTGGTGCCTCGAGTTTCTATCTTTGGAGGCAAGGCAGCCCCTGGTTACTGGATGGCGAAGACCATTATTCATCTCATAAACAATGTGGCCGATGTGGTGAACAAGGACCCGGAGGTTGGCGACCTTTTGAAGGTTATCTTCATCGCGGATTACAACGTCAGCAAGGCGGAGATTATCTGCCCTGCTTCGGATATCAGCGAGCACATCTCAACTGCCGGTACGGAAGGCAGCGGCACGAGCAACATGAAGTTCGTCCTGAACGGTGGCCTGATCATCGGCACCTGCGATGGAGCCAACGTAAGTCTTTCACCTATATCCAGACCAGCTTCCGTCCTACTAATACAAACCCGACTCACAGATCGAAATCACCCGCGAAATTGGGGAGCAGAACATCTTCCTCTTTGGCAATCTCGCCGAAGACGTCGAGGACCTGCGCCACAGACACTTCTACGGCGACTTCAAGCTAGACCCGCAGCTGGAGCGTGTCTTCGACGCAATCAAAGACAACGTGTTCGGCGACAAAGCCGACTTCTCCGCGCTCACAAGCTCCATCGAAGAGCACGGTGACTACTACCTTGTCTCAGACGATTTCAACTCTTACATCACCACGCACGAGATGGTCGACGAGGCCTTCCAGAATCAGGAGGAGTGGCTGGCCAAGTCGATTACCTCTGTCGCGCGCATGGGATTCTTCTCTATGGATCGCGTTACTAATGAGTACGCTGATAGTATCTGGAATGTCGAGCCTCTGGATGTTACGGACTAAACAGGCTGTGGTTGGAAATAGGCAGTGCTATGTCTTTCTTCTTTTGGTTTGGTGATTCGCATGCGCTTTCCATTGGTTCTATTAACTCCTCAGCATTGGTTCGTCCATTATCCTTAGCATTAATAGGATATCAATTCATTTATAGGTTCAGTACAGGTCATCCACGTCTGGTATTCAGGCCATTCGATAAAAATTTATATGCAATTGGTCTATACAAAACTAGGTATATATATAATCAAATCTCGATATACAGCACTTTGTACAAACCCAGAAGAGAAGATCCTACCTCGAGGCAGTAACGACTGAGATATCGAACCAACACCCACTCCGTGCCAAAGCAAAGCGAAACCAAAAAGAAATCCAGGCATGACGACGTCAAAACCATAAAAT